CTAAATTTTAATAATCCACTTTCATTGCTTTGTCCCCACAGCTGTCTGCATGGTAGATGCTTCCTGCAGTGCTTACTTCCTCTGCAAGACTTTTTAACCTTTTCAGTTCTTTAGTAACTGACAATAATTCTTCATATTGAATTCATTCTGTTAAAATAATTGCTGTGGTTTATGTTTTTGACTAGATCCAAACAGATATATCTATTAACATGACACAACTATGTGTGAACATGAAATCAAACAACGAAGTTGGATGTTAGATCTGAGTTCAATCTCAAAGTTCTAAAAAAAATCTTGTATCTCAACAGAATGGACCGATTTTTAAAAGATACTATTAGATACACACACTCACAAATATATACATATATTTGGAGGTAGACAGAGTCTCACTCTATCATCCCAGCTAGAATGCAGTGGTATCATCATAGTTGACTGCAACCTCAAACTCCTGGGCTCAAGTGATTCTCGTGCCTCAGCCTCCTGAGTAGCTGGGACTACAAGCATGTGCCACAACAGCCAGCTAATTTTTCTATTTTTTTGTAAAGATGGGGTCCCACTCTTGGTCAGGCTCATCTTGAACTCCTGACCTCAGGCAATCCTCCCACCTCAGCCACCCAGAGTGCTAGGATTACAGGCATGTGCCACAGTTTCCAGCTAAGATTTTTATAATGCTATTAGCAACTTTACTAGAAACACACACAGGAAGACACATGTGTGCAACTCTATTTTACGAAAAGACTTTTACAGTAAAAAAGACAACGAATAGGCCGGGCGTGGTGGCTCACGCCTGTAATCCTAGCTTTCTGGGAGGCCGAGGCGGGCGGATTGTTTGAGCTCAGGAGTTCGAAACCAGCCTGAGCAAGAGCGAGACCCCGTCTCTACTAAAAATAGAAAGAAATTAATTGGACAACTAAAAATATATAGAAAAAATTAGCCGGGCATGGTGGCACATGCCTGTAGTCCCAGCGGCTGAGGCAGAAGGATCGCTTGAGCCCAGGAGTTTCAGGTTGCTGTGAGCTAGGATGACACCACGGCACTCTAGCCCAGGCAACACAGTGAGACTCTGTCTCAAAAAAAAAAAAAAAGACAATGAATAGTCTCAATTTTTCACTATTTTAAGTGATGCTTCAATAAATTCTTATACACACTTTTTTGTATTTTTGTTTGTATATACACCATTAATATCTCTGGATTGCCTACTACATATGAGCCACCATGCTATGTACTAGGAATACAACTGTGTAGAAGACAATTAAGATCTCTCCTTTCATAAATTTGAAGCATATTTTCTCAGGATATATAAACTACCTTATTGCTTACTAGAAGAGTTGTATCAATTTGCATTCCTACCAAACACCTTATCAAGAGTGCCTATTTGCTCACACTCTGATCAAAGGGGCATTATTGGTATCTGCAACATGACAGATGAAAAATTAAATTTCACTGTTGTTTTAGAATGTATTTTTTGTTAGAAGGAGAAAAAATTTTTATATTTTCACAGAAAAGTGTGGTTTCTTCATTCAGAGCACTTTTATTTCCACTTGATAATACAGGGTATGTTTGTAATCCATGACAACCATACATTCTTCTGAGGTTAAATTAATAACTATAACCATCAAAATAGTTACTAAAAAGTAAACATTCATTGAGTTTTGGGATGAATTTACATGTATCATTGAATTCTCACAAAATTAACAGGGATTGGAATCAAACAGGAAATGAGCCACATAGAGAGTTGGACTTAAACAGTGCAGCAAGTAACAGGCAGAACTGTAGGAGTAGCGAGAAGGAAATATAGACTTTTAAATTTATTTTGAGTAAAACAACAAAATAATAGCCAACATTTAATGCTTACCATGTGCCAGGTTCGGTTCTAAATACTTTACATATGTTATTTGCTCATTTAATCCTTATAAAAGTCTTATTAGGCAAATTCCTATTTTACTGGTGAAAAACCTGAGGCACAGAAAAAAGTAATGTGCTCAGAATCACACAGTTAGTAAGGTGATTTCAACCCAGGCAGTCTGGGTCTAGAATCTGTGCTCTAAAATACTATGCCATACAAATAATAAGTGTATATCACTCATCGTAAGTCACTGACATTGCACTTAAGAGTTTACAATTTCTAGAGTACAGACTACCTTTGTAATTCTAGCTTTTGAATTGACCATGGCTTTTGGTTACAGATTACTTAATATAAAGCCACAATATTTAAAAAATAATGAATAGCTCTTAGACGAAAAATCTTTATTGTATGTCTATAAAACTCAACACAATATAAATTGCTAAGATATACAAAAGTTATGTTAGGTCATGATAAATCAATGTTAAGTTAATACAGTTCAAATTTTCCGAAGTAATAGGGGATGAAGAGAGCAAAGTTCAGATTTTAATTGCCATCAGCAGGGCATTCAACACAAAGAATAGGTTTTTCTATTTGTATCAAATTTCCATCTAACAGAAATCTATACTATTACCACTTTATTATAGCAGCTGAGTGAGGCTCAAAACCATACCTAGAAAGTCTAAGACATCATTAAAAAAATAATAATAAATCACTGCAGACATTTTCGAAGACTGGTATTTATATTACACCTTTCAAGACATTCCACTTCATTTTAAGCTTTGTAGAAATATATGGAAGTGCAATCAAAAAAAGAAAGTAGCATATCTCATGGTGTTTTACTAGTTTAGTCCCACTTCACTAGCCCATGCTTATGATTCAGAGACATGGCACTCTCCTTTCAAACTATTACAGGCATATTTCTTACAGTGCTCTCTAATACACTGAGTTGCTGTTAAGCATTAGACATAAATTCATTTATTTAGTGAAAATTGCTGTAATGCATAACATTCTTTAAATTAACAAAATCATATTACTCTGGATAATTGAATAGTTGCTACATTATATTTAATACTAAATATCATATTTTTGAAAACTGATACCCCATACCCATGTTACATAAATTATGTACCTATACTGATGTAACTTGCATATTCCTATCTCAAAATCACCTTAAACAGTGGCATTTTGATGTGTTTTAAAGATGTACTGGAATCAAAAGTAATTCAATTTTTTTGTAAGAAGACATATAAATAGGTAAAATTTTAAAAGAACAAAATATATTTAAAACACATTAAGAATAAAAGCAAAACAGGGATAATAAACTACTGAACTGAATTACATTTTGCTATATTTAATTACAATAGGCAACTGCAAGAAAAAAATCTTTTTTTGCTACTAGAGAAATGGGTATGCTATGGTTAGCGTCATACAGTTTTTTAACTGCTGCTAAGAATTATGATCTGTAAAAGGCAATGTTAAATGATTTTTCAAAACTCAATGAAAGAATCAAGAAAAACCTGCAAAGGCTTATACTCTTTAACCAAATAGTATAAATACAGCATTAAGCAAAATAGATTAGTAACATAGCAATTTAACAAATTTTACTTCATCCCTGAAGTCTTATTTTCCAAAGAACTATATTCATCTGTCTCTTTAAAAAAAAAAAAGTTTGGTCCCACCAGAACTGATTCCTCAGCCTCCACTGTTTTAGTAGTAAGGTGGTCTTCAATAAGGCACTTCCAGAAGAACACATCAAGCCTCCACCCAGCTTGCATGATTACTGGTGTATAGTTCCACCGTTAACTGGCAAAATATCTATACGCCAGATATTTTCACAGGAAGAATAATCTTCAACGTACTATGTATCAATATTTATCCAACACTTAGATAAGGGAAATAATATTTTTGGAAACTACCCCAAAAATCATTTGTATGTGTTTGTGTCTATATTTCACCTTTTCCTATAAATAGTTTAAAATGTATCTATGCTTGTATTAAAATTAGACCAATACAGAGCTCAATATCTATTTGGGGGCCCCTAGATAATTGTTCTAACAATTTTTTGCCATTAAGTTCCAACGGCAAACTAGTCACAAATATTTAAAGATGTCAAATCCTAAATACTCATTTTTTTTTATATCCCAAGTCATCAAACAGTAAGTATTCTATTTTTTGAAAACTAATAACCATATGCCTTATTAAACTCACTTTTTTACTTAGGATTCAATGTACAGTTTCCTTTCTTTAAGAATGCACAATCTTTAAGAGACTACTTTTAATCTTAATGGAGTCTGGACTCCTCCTAATAATATTTCCTTCATTCCATTAGCTACACAAAAGAGTATCTGTGTTTTACATTTGACAAGTAAAAAGAACTTCATGGTATGCATTGATAAATTTTAACTCCTTTGCTAGCATTATCTTATTTACTTTATCTTTATGATTTCCTTCATTCATCATTTCTTACTTTGTTATAACATATCTACTTAGATAAGGGGACTTAAAAAGTTGTAGAACAAAGTGAGGAAAAAACAAGCCTTTAGAAAAACAATGAAAATATTCATGCTAAAGCATCTTTTATTTAAAATGACCCATAAAGTCATAAAAGATTAATCAATAAATGAAAAAACTATCACTTAATGAACAAAATGAACGTTGATGAAAGTCAACAATTAAAACCTCACCCAAAAAAAGTACGGATAAATGTTTGCTATGCAAATGCAAATATGAAGTCATTTCTTTCAAAGTAAAAATGACACATTTCAATACATTTAATTATAATACCAATGATCACAGTTTACATTTATAATTCATTTGACAAGATTATTTTTTAGTAAAATCTATTTTCACTTTAACAATTTAACAAAGTTCACTTCGATATTATTAATATCTGTGTTCTTTTTTTAAAAGAGGGGTTTTAACACTAAAATTGGTAAAGTTTGAAGGATTCTACAAAATGTTAGCTGTCATAGGTGAAATAATCTGTGAAAATGAGATACATGTGGGTATATATGTATATATGTAAAGTATATTGAAAGTAAAATATTTTTCTAAGTATTGAAAAGTATATGTAAAATATCCTGTAAACAATGAAGCCTTATACAGACATTATTATTTCATACCAAAATCATGAGAAACAAAAGTACATACTTACCCTTCTCCTCCAATTCTTGTTATTTTTAGACGAAAATCCACAGAATTCAGACTGGGAGGCTTCCATTTCAAAATATCATCACATCGACCAGGTTTATATTTCTAAAGTGAATTAAAATGATGATTGATAACAGTTAAAAAGAAGCTAAAAATAAATATACAATTTATTAAACATGATACTTTTTATTAAGCAAGATTACTACTTATTTTCCAGACATAATTTTTATCTTCAAGCAACAAGTGAAGCCAAATACATCTACTTTCTCATTGATGATCTTTCTCCTTTTCCTACAGAAGACATCTAGGCATGTCTGTTTAGGTAGTAAGGTGGTTTTCTATAAGGTACTTCCAGAAGAACACTTTGGTGAAGTGTCTGTTCAAATCTTTTCCTCCTCTTTTTATTGAGCTACTTGACTCATTACTGACTTGTAAGAGTTGTTTATACATTCTAGACAAATAGTCTTTGTTCATACATGTACAGCAAATATTTTCTACCAGTTTTGGCTTTCCTTTTCATTTGCTTAGCAATTTCTTTGTTAAGAAGTATTAACAGGAGTAAAGATTTTTTTTAATTTAATGCAGTCAAAATTATCCATTTTGAAATTATGTAATTTGTGCTTTTTCTAACCTATTTAAGGAATCTTTTCCTAATCTAAAATCTTTATAATTTTCTACTATGTTTTCTTAGAGAAATTTTATAGTTTAGGCTCTTATGTTTAGGTATATGACCCCTGTAAGGCTTATTTATTTATATGGTATGAAGCAAAGGACTAGGTTCACTGGCAAATGGATATCAAATCAATCTACCATCATTTGTTTAAAAAATTATCCTTTCCTCATTGAAATTGCCTTGGTACCTTTGTCAAAATTCAATTGTTTATCGATATAGTTCTATTCTCACTAATCTGTTGCACTGACACATAAGCGTTTCTTTCTGCTAACTGCACACTGTCTCAATTACTATAACTTCATAAGTTTTGAAAACAGTTTGTATAAATTCTCAAACTTTATTCTTTTTTCAAAAACACTTTTAGCTAATGCAGCATTAACATTTCCACATAAATTTTAAAATCAACTTGTCAATTTCTATGAAAAATAAGCCCACAAAGATTTTATTGAGCATCGTACTAAATCAACTGATTATGAGGAAAATGACATCTTAATAACATTGAATCTTCTGATTCAAAAATACTACAAATCTCTCCATTTACTTAGCTCTCCATAAATGAATCACAGCAATGTTCTGTAGTTTTCAGTATGTGGATCTCATACAACTTTTTTAAAATTTATTCCTAATAATCCAGTATTTTTGGTGATATTATGGACACAAAAACTCATGTTTTGTTTCTATAAACAAAAATCAAAAAAATAAATAAAGAAATTAAAGAAATTTATAATAGCATCCAAAGGAACAACATACTTAGGAATAAATTTACTCAGGGAGGTGAATGATTGAAAACTATAAACATTGACAACACAATTTAAAGAAGACCAAAAAATGGAAAGACATCATATGCTTATAGATAGAAAGACTTAATATTGTCAAGGTGTCACTACTGAGAGCAAGCTACAGACTCAATACAAATGCTATCAAAATATCAACAACCTTTTCCACAAAAATGGAAAAGCCAACCCTCAAATTCATATGGAATTTCAAGGGCCCCTGAAGAGCCAAAACAATCTTTAAAAAAGAAGAACGAAGTTAGAAGATTCACATTTTCTACTTTCCAAACTTACTACAAAGCTACAGTAATCAAAACACTGTGGTACCAGTATAAGGATAGACATGTAGACCAAAAGACTAGAATTAAGAGTACAGAAATAAACCCATACATCTATAGCTGATTGTTCTGTTTTGTTTTGTTTTTACAAGGATGCCAAGTCCATTCAATTGGGAAAGAATACTCTCTTCAAGAAACAGTGCTGGGGCCAGGCGCGGTGGCTCACGCCTGTAATCCCAGCACTCTGGGAGGCCAAGGCAGGAGGATCGTTTGAGCTCAGGAGTTCGAGACCAGCTTGAGCAAGAGCGAGACCCCGTCTCTACTAAAAATACAAAGAAATCAGCTGGACAATTAAAAATATACATAGAAAATAGCCGGGCATGGTGGCGCATGCCTGTAGTCCCAGCTACTCAGGAGGCTGAGGCAGAAGGATTGCTTGAGTCCAGGAGTTTGAGGTTGTTGTGAGCTAGGCTGACGCCACGGCACTCTAGCCTGGGCAACAGAGTGACACTCTGGCTCAGAAAAAAAAAGAAAAAGAAAAAAGAAATAGTGCTGGGAAAGCTGGATTTCTACATACAAAACAATTAAGTTGGACCCCTACCTCACACAATATTAAAAAATTAACAAAAAAAAGATAAACAACCTAAATAAAATAGCTAAAACCATAATAGTCTCAGAAGAAAACATAAGGCTTCATGATCTAGGATTTAGCAATGGATTTTTAGACTTGACAACAAAAGCATGAGTAACAAAAGAAAAACTAGATAACTAGGACTTCATGAAACTGAAAAACCTTTGTGCATCACAAAATATTATCAAGAAAGTGAAAAGACAACCTATAGAAGGAGAGAAAATGTTTGAATTATATATCTAATAATAATACCCATGTATATTATATACAAATATAT